AGGGGCTGGCCTGGGGGTGCTTCATCCTCTTGACCCGCTCTCTAAGAGTTAAACGATGGGTCCCACCCTCCTGACCCTTCCTCTCTGTTCTTGCGGCACGTCGGTAATGCCAGTGATGGTTCCTGCCACTGCTGCCCTCTTGGGAGATGGTTTCGGTCTTGCTCTGCTGTTCTGCGACGCACTCGCCTTCACTCTTCATGGGAACCTCTGTTTTTTCACTGTTGCCACAGCTGCCTTCACTGCCGTTCTCTGACACTTTTCTGTGGGAGTCTGTGTGCGTTACTGTCAGAATCTTCCTGGGTAAACTTCCTTCGGTGTAGTAGGGCCCACACAGATCACCCAGGTCTCTGTAGTTTGCTGGATGACCACACAGACTGCAGCTGAGACTGCTCCTGGTCAGGCCTTTATTGACCAGAGGTCCCTGCAACATGGCAGCCGTGTGTGGTGCAACCTTTGCGACCGTAAATGGATTCTTCATCCGGAGTATTCCCTTCTTTCTGCGTCTCTGAAATATGACGGCGTCCTCAGGCTTGTTCACCACAGCACACCAGGAGGAAAAATCTCTGGAGTTGTTGAGCCTCACGTAGGGTAAAAAAGACATTTTAGAGCAGTGCACTGGCCTGCGCCGGATTCTTTTTACAGCAATGGTCTCCGTCTGTGTTTCTGATACCAAAACTGTTGGACCAACATAACATGTACTGTGTTTTTCTTCACTCTCTCCCTCTCTTTGTTCTCTCTCTGCTTTCTCCCTCTCTTCTTTTTCAGCCTGTTCACACCCAGCAGCCCTCACCACTGCTTCAATCACTTCCAGGGCGTCTTTCATGCCGGGTTTTGGCCCAGGTTTTTTGTAGATCTTCACTGGTGCATCAGGGTTCTGCTCTGGTTCAACTTTGATTTTCTTCCTCTTAGTTGGGTTTGCTGATGGTTTCCTTCCTCTCCGGGGTTTCTGGTGATCTTCTGGACTGGGATTATTTAGGATTTCTGTGATTTTATCTGGACTGATTGGTAGGACAGAGTCCATGGGACCTATTTTCTCCTCTACCTCTGTTTGTTCTGTGGTTTCAGTGATATACTCTTCAGCCGACCCCTTTGGTTCTGGAGAGGTTTGGGTTCTGGTTTCCTCTTCATTCTGTTCTAGCTCCTCAGCTGGCTCTGCTTCTTCATGAGGATCTTGGCCTTTCCTTTTCTTTCTCTTCTGCTTTAGGTGCATCTCATGGTTGTTTTTAATGGCCTTTTGCTTAGCTAACCTAGGTGTTGTGACTATGAGGCTCCCGGCCTCCAGGGCTACTACAGATGCATCTGTACTCTCCACCATAGCCCATCTCTTCCTTTTAATTCTTGAAGACTTATTAATAGACAAAGAACCTCCTTCTGAACTGTGAGATGTTAGTGTTTCTGGAGAACTTACTTCAACCGGGACGGCCATCAAACTAGGAACTTGGTCGGCTGCAACGTTCTGCTGTCTGTCTGGTTTATGATCCATTGTATAGTCTTGATTTAAAACCTGTTCTTCCACCGCCTGTCTCACCTCCTCTGACGCTGATGTTGCTTCTTTTACCTCGTTTATTTCTGCGTCCTCCTTTGTCACCACTTTCTCCTGAAGTTTGATTTCTTCTTGTTTAACTTCTACAACGTGCACTTCCTCTGCCACAGATGTCTCAGTGTGAGACAACACCTTGGCCGTGATGTCATCAGATACATTATTGTCCATCTGAATCAGTGGTATATGCTTCTTGGAGCTGGGAGATGTGATTTTCTGCACCATGGCTTCATATTTCTGCCCCCTGCCTTTTCTCGGTGGAAGAACTTTAGTTTTTGTCGGGCACTGGGGTGGCACCAGGGGTAGATCACTCGTGATGTCTGTTTCACTGCTGTTAGTCGTGTCTTTGGTTAAGGTGCTGTCCACAGAGGTTCTCCTGGGCGGCCCACGCTTTCTTCCCGATGCACGAACGGCCTGCTCTTTAGTCGCTGGGACATTTTCTTCCAGCTGTTGGACTTCCTGTGCTTGGAGTGTTGAAGGTTTTGGTTTGGGCTTTGGACCCCTCTTTTTCTTAATTGGTGGATGAATGACTTCTGGGGTAGATTTTCGTTTTAGTGGAAGTGATGTCGTGTCCTCAGATTGTTCAGTTGGGTCTGGTGAGGCGAGCGATGCAGGGAGATCTGATGGAATATCTATGTTTTCTATTGTGGTCAGAGCAGAAGTGCAACTTTGTTCTACCGTTAAAGACTCTTCCACTTTTGGAGAAACATCTGTTCTATTCATTTCTGTTTGTGGAGGGGTCGCAATGTCCTCTCCTTTGTTTTTCTCCTTTTCTTTTAACAGTTTTTCTTGTGAGGTTTTTCTGGACCTTAAGACCATGTTTTTAGTTTCTTTCTCTTTTTCCTCCCCGTTTGCTGCATTTTCATCTTTGTTTTCCTGTGATATTGTAACTTTCAGTGTCCGTCTGCTCCTGCTTTGTGATCTTATAATATGTTGTGTAGTCTCTTCAACTTCTAACTGCTTTGTTTTGGAAACTGAGCCTTTTGGACGACCCACTGGAGCCTTACAAACTACAGGGTCTATGGTGGGAAGATCCTGTGTTGCATCAGGTTCAGGTTTTGGCTTTGGTTTTGGACCTCGCTTTAGAGCTGTTTTCTGTTCAGTCTTAGTCTCCGGTTTAGGTCCAGGTTTTCGTTTCCCAGCAGCCTCAAATTTTACTGGCAGTTCTTCTTCTTTTGGCACAAGTCTTGGTCCTGGTTTAGGACCTGGTTTAAGACAAACCTTTGGCTTTAGTCCAGGTTTGGGCCCTGGTTTTGGTCCGGGCTTAGCTGCCAGTTTGGCCCCTGGTCTTGATTCAATTTTTGAACCTGGTTTTGGACCTGGCTTTCTTTTAATATTAGGCTCAGCTTTGGAGAGCAGGTCAGGTGCGTTGAATGAGCGTGTGCACATTCTGGAACCGATACCGTCACTTATCATTTTGGGAGTTTGGCTCACAAGTGATTCTTGATGAGCTAAATCCATTTGATCTGAGATTAGTACAGTTTTGCTCGGAGGCATGGTGGCTTTCTGAGCGGGTGAAGGAGCTCCTTCCTTCTCTTTCTCCACGTCTGTCTCCAAACTTGGTTGTCGTCTAATTCCCACACTTGAATGCATGATTCTTCTTCTGCCTCTGGCATGTTTTCTCCCAAATGCCCTGGGCTGAGCAGATGGGGCCACAGACTCTGACTTTGCCAAAGGGGTCACAGCACTGGCACCACTGATGCCTGGCTCCACATCCTCGTCACCTTTTTGTGGAGAAGGTGGTGTATCAGCCCAGGAGGGGGCTGAAGGAAGAATTGACTTCCCTGGAAGCTGAGGAGAATCTGGCTCCAGCACTTTAGCATCACTATGATCGATATGATCCCTGGCTGGAGCTGGAGGTGCCGCTTTGTCATTGAGAGCTGAGAAAATTGGCATAGCAGACTGGGGCTGTGGAGCAGTGTCACCGATGGCTGACTCTCTTGCAGAAGCATCTGCTACTGCTGTATTCAGATGGGCAGGAGCCCCGACAAAATCTCTGTCAGTATGAAGCTCGGTACTCTCATTCATGATGCACAGACTTTCATGAGGTGTTTCCGGCTCGTCTGTATTATTCATGTGCTCCTCAGATGTTGACTTGCTCATTTTCTCCCCTTCCCCCAGTTCCTCCCCAACCTCTGCAGAAAGAGGAGGGGAAAGAGAATGTTGCTCATGCTTCTGTGTGTCGTCTTCGTCTTCATCATCAGCCTCATTGTCTTCCTCTCTATCTCCTTCATCTTCATCCTCCTCTTCTCTGCTTTCTACCTTGTCTGCATTGCTCTCATCGTAGGGCTCCATCGCCGGGGTTGGAGAGGTGTTCTCTGAGCTATCTTCTTTCTCAATGGAATATTGATCCGGTTCAAGGTCACCCCCCGAAATAAAAGGCAACGTTTTCAGTGAGCTCTCGGAAGCTGTTGGAGACGCAGATTTGAAAGTTTTAGATTTTATCTCTTGACCAAAGTGTTCCTGGTGGCTAGACACAGAAAGACTTGCAGACGATTGCTCAACCAGTTCTCTTGAATCAGGGTCAAAGTTCTCCTGAACCCCTTCATACTCCTCATAACAATAACTTCTCTCTGTTTCTTCTTTGTTTACGTTGCTGTGCAGAGCAGAATATTTCTCATCCAGCCATTTCTTCAGGCTGTCCTTTGATTTGGTTGTGTCTATGTCTGTGCCGTGGTCAGGTGATTTTTCTGTTCTTATCTCGTCTTTGTCAGCTAATTTTTCTGTCCATGCAGACTCTTCAAAGTTCTCTTTGAGAAGCTCATCTTGTTGTCTGTCTGAGGGGGAGTTCAGTTCTTGTTTTATTGGACTCGGGATAGTAATGCTTATAGGAGACCTTTCGTCACCGGTGCTCTTCACTGGTGTACCCATGTCGTCTCCTCTCTGTCCCGATTGACACCTTGTTGGATCAGGGGTAAGGTTGTGCACTCCTGAGTCCCCCGATCTAGTGGACATATCATCAGGTGATGTCATTGAGCACGAGGAGACTGTGTCCAAGCTGAGGTGTGTGTTGTTGGGGGCCTGTGATGGACTTCGGCCTTGGCCACAGTAGAAATAACCTCTTTCCAGTTGTTCATCACTACTACTGGAGTAGCCTCCTTCATTTATTTCCATGGGTATAGGCTGGTGTTGTGGGGTAGAATAAGGGTCCTGCATGCTCCCTCCCCCAATACCACTGTCTGGATATGAAGGACTTCTGTACTCTTCACCTTTTTTGGAAGATGCTCCACTTCCAGCGCTGCTGTTGCTCCCACCGCTGCTGCGCTTGGCGCCTTTCTTGTTTGCCACTAGGGCTTCTGAAAGCAGCAGCTGCTGCACATTGTTTGAAATGTTTTCTACCTGAGAGGTGAGGGCATTCAGGCTCCACAAACTGGGGTTTGTCAGTAGTTTTTCTGAGAAGCGCTCTTTCATTGTGGGAACTTGCGGTGTGGAAGTGTAGTTGTGCGTAGAGGCGTGCGTCATGCTGGGCGAGGGATGTGAGCGTGGGGGCATTAACATAGTGTTTGTGCTAACTTGCTCCTGGATACCAGCTGAAGAGGATGATGTGGAAGAAGCTGCTCCAGGAGTCATCGGAGGTTGGCCATACTGGAATGATTCTGGATTGGTCATTAGTGGTGAAGGAGTGGAACTGTACGAGGGAGAACGCCCTACAGAGCGAGCAGGGGAGTGGCTGGATGAGGGGCTACAGGTCTGGTAATACTGCTCCGGCGATCTGACGGACAATTCCGAGAGACAGTAGTTTTGTTGGGTTTGGCTGTAATGCTGATATTTAGGGTGGGGCTCTTGGGGGTTCGTCATAGACTGTAGAGGAGCCTGTTGTTCGTACACTCTGGAGGAAGGTTGCTGGTAGCCATAACTGTTCTGTCCTGACCTGTAACCTCCCTGTTTTAAACTGCTGTGACTGGTCATTTGTCTACCATACTGGGAATTGGGAGGAATGTTGTAACCTTTGTAACACGCAGGCATAGGGTTACACTTTTCCATGTATGGTGAAGGAGAAGGTGAGTGCTGAGGGTAGTGAAGGGGACCCTGGGGGTACATGAGAGAGGAGGACGCAGGGTTAGGAGGATGGGACTGATGGTGAGGGCTGGTATAGGCAGGAGCAGGTGGCTGGTGACACTGGGTCTGAGCATGACCCAGAATGTTCTGGTCAATGTACTGGGAATGGGCAGGTGCAGGGGTACCAGCACCTTCTATACGCCCTAATATATCCTGGTCGTACTGGGTTAACTGGGCTGTGTCCTCCCACTTTTGCTGAAGAAGGCCTTCAGTCAAATACTGAGCTGAGTAATTCCCAGAGCCCATTTGGTTTCCATATCCACCAGGACCCTGTAGTTGCTGTCCAGGATTTGGTAGTGGTACTTTGCCTCCTCTGTAGGACTTTTTCACCTGCGTGGATGCCGAGCCCCCAGTACCAGTCCCGCTGCCTCCTCCACCACCTGGGTAACCAGTATAGGCTTGTTGGCTGTAACAGTCCTTGGGTCCAACTCCAGACCCTTGTCCCCCACCTGTGGGGAGGCTTGCGCTGTTTGCTAGTGAATGCGTCTCATAACCTGGCCTCGTGTGCCCCGGTCCAGGACCTGGATGTGGACCTGGGCCTGGGTGTGGGTGCTGAGGATGGGGGTGATGCGGGTGTTGCCGGTAGTTCTCCAGGCGGGATAATTCATGGGGTTCCTGCTGGTAGCAGGGTTGGTTGCTGTGGTAACCACCGCTGCGCTCACGGAAGGACTGCATCACCGTCTCCGTCTGTAGTCAGAGCCGGAAGGGGGAGGTGAGGTGAGATGGGAAGGGGGAAAAGGGGGATTTAGGGGTTCTGAATTCAGAGAGGGCGGGATGAAGAGAAGGAGCAGAGGGCAGTGAGAGAAAAAGAGAAAGAAATCAAAAGTGTTAGAGCTGTTGAGCCTGCAGATCAACCATTCTTCATTTTCACCTTTTGCCATTTCTCCGTTCACAGTTCTGTATAATTTATACACTGGTCTTGAATTTTCAAAGTACAGTTCTCTCATATCCTGAGAGTCATTTGAAATTTAATTTTTAATCACACTCACACACAAAGGTCCCACAAATAAACTTAACTATGTGAAAAACAGCTGCAGCAATAATTCTCTAGCCATGATTCTGTCTCTCTCTCTCTCTCTCTCTCTCTCTCTCTCTGAACCCTTCACAATGATGCACAGTCCTGAGGACCTTTCAAAATGGAGGCTGTGATGCAGCCTCTGGTCCCTGATTGGTAAATCAGAGAGTGTGAAGGTTTGTGGGGAAAAAAATGAATTCTCTGTCTGTCTGTATGATGGATAGAGACATGACTATTTACATCACCTAAGGAACCATCTAGAATCATGCCTCTAACAAACTTTCCGTTTCGCCTCGACTCTGTCTTAACCCTCATCTGACCTGGTTTGTTTTGACATTTTTTTCCCCAGCAGTTTTTGTTACTGTTTCAACCCAAACTGCTGTGGAAAGCAGGACATGTTGCGTTAGTTGTGTGCATGCTTCCTGTTTTCCTCTCAGCTTCTCCCCATCCACACGGATCGCCACAGCAGACAAAGCCCCATGGTCATTTTGGCAACGTTTTTGCAGCTGGTGCCATTTTTCTGATGCAACTCTAACCATTTTTTGACAGTGTAATCTGACTGTGGATGGAAAACACAACTGCTGGGTTTTTTCCACATATCTGTTGTTGTTTAAGACAAGTCCGGTCCTGTCAATGGTGAGACTGTGAGAATCAGGGTGTGTTAGGTTCTCTGGCCTCTCCATAATAAGGATGAAGATGTAAAAGAAGAAGAAGAAGAAGAAGAAGAAGAAGAAGAAGAAGAAGAAGAAGAAGAAGAAGAAGAAGAAGAAGAAGAAGAAGAAGAAGAAGAAGAAGAAGAAGAGGAAGAAGAGGAAGGAGGAGGAGGCCTGTGTGTGTGTATGTGTGTATTTGCCCATGTGTGTCAGTCTGAGGACAATATCCCAGCATTCAACCTGCCTCAGGGACAGTGGTGCATCTCACCAGACGCACAGCAGCATTATTCATGTGTGCGTATGTGTGCATGAGAAAGAGAGTAAGAGAGAGAGAGAGAGAGTTGTGCTTATGTATGTAGGTCCTATGCTTGTGACCGGTCCTTAAACACACGCACACACACACACACCCCAACAGATTCCCCAGGAGATCCTCTGTCCTCTGTCCTACCTCTCTCTCTCTCTGCCCACAGCCTACTTGTGTTTCAATCTAATATGATGTGCAGTGTGTGTGTGTGTGTGTGTGTGTGTGTGCTCGCGTTTGTGTGTACTTGTTTACACAACGACCTAAATAGGAAACTTACGGTGTAGCAGACCTGATATGGGACTCCTCTGTATACAGCAGACAGTATGGACCGTGTCCCCCCCCACCCCCCGCCCCCGCTCAGATCTGGTTTTGTATGTGTGTGTGTGTATTTGTTTATATTTCAGTACTTGATGATGTTTGTCTCCAAAGAAACGGAGCAAACAAACCAAAAGGCGTTCGGCCTATTTACCCAACTCCTCCTTCTGTACTCACACCACCGCACACGTGTGTTCTCGACTGGGGTCTACATTCCAATCACGTCTCCCCTCCACTGCCACACTGCGCCTCCCGCTTCTCCCACTTCTGTCTTCCAAAGAGATTGCGTGGTCGGCCATGTACTGTATTTGTGGATGCATCACATCACATCACACTGCACCCTACCTTGGCAGGGGTCAAGGAGGAGAGAGGACAAAGGGATACATGCTGAGATCACCAAATCCTGGCTGGCCCTCTCTTCTCTGTCTGTTTATTAGGTGCTCGCATTGATCGTGTTGCTGCTGGTACACAGAGGAGACGAGAAGGAAGGAGAACTCAGCCGTACGCATCACTGTGTACTCTGTCACACAACCTGTTTTTGTTTTTTTACTTTCTGGCTCTTTGCCATGGTTTTCAAAGACAACGGCAGAAGAAGAGAGAGAGTTTGGCAACTAATGGGTCAAAAGAGAGGGGGAAAAAAGGCAACGGAGAGTAGGCGGTGGAAGAAGGATGAGGGATAAGCGATGAAGAAGGCAGAAGACAGGTGGATCGTCAATTTACAGAGGCGGCTTTAAACCCTCGGCTCCTGGGAAATATGGGCCGCAGCATCACCACACACACACACACACACACACACACACACGAACAGAACGCTTTGTTAACACACACACATGCATGTGGGCTCAGACATATGCTTTGTTAACACACATGCATGTGGGCTCAGACATATGCATATAGAGAGTCAGCCGTGTACGAGCCGTCACTACAGACTCGTGTATAATTAGAGAAATTGTTCGCGTCCACAGATGAGGTGCTAGACATGTGATTGATTACTCAAGGCTCAGCCCACTTCAAATCTCATAAAAGCAGCTGCCCTCATAACCAGCCTGGCTGTCACTTTATGTTTGCAAACCCAAACTGACAGCACAGAGTTTGAATGATTGTACGGGGAAGCTGTTTTTTTTTTCTCTCCCCACAATTCCAAGTATTGGACCAGGTTTCCAAGGTGAAAGAAAATGTTGAGTTGGTTATTGAGAAAATATTATTAGTGCATAGGAGAGAGGAGAGCGGAAAGAGGGAGGGCAGGGGATGGACGAGGGTGAATCTGATTGTTCCCCTGGACGGGTTATAACGCTCAGAGCTGAGACTGGCTATAGAACCCCCTTCATTCTCCTTCTGTCCTCTCTCTCTCCCTCGCTCCCTCTCTTTTATCGCTGCGTCTTCAGAGGCAGCTCCAGATGGGATTTGTCTTCTTTCCGTCTTTCTCTCTCAGAGTTCACAGACGCACAGCGAGGGTAGAAAGCTCTCATTCACATTCAGCTCTGCCTCTGTCGCACTTCTTCTTCCGACCTTTTCCCCACACCGACACATAAAAACTCACAAACACACATGCGCATGAACAAGTACACAAAAACAGAGGTGCGTATGAGGTAGAGGGATGTCACGTCCCTCTGGTGTTTACCTCCCCTGTCATCTTGGTAATTATGCATACAGCATCGGCACCGTGCGGAGAGGGTGGAGCAACCTGGGAGGAAACGTGCTCTCACACACACACATTCACACTCACCAACCACACCACGGAATCCAAAGGTTGCCTCGCATGATTCTCGACAAGTCGACAAACAGTTCAAAAATAACCCACCGCACACACACCCTGCTTCACATCACACACACGGCTAACACATCTGACTTCAACACCCGGCTTCACTTGGCATGTGCTTAAACATCACAGCAACCCGTCCTGTGGCCAATCAGCACACTGCCATCCATGTTGTTTACATGAGCACACGCTCTAGGACAGAGAGTGGCTGTCTGTGTCCTCCACTCTTGGAGGACGACGTGGCATTTTACATGATGACTGTAGGTTATCGCAGACAGACGGCTGGACACACGTCTTGTCTGTCTTCCTTCTCTCTCTCTCTCTCTCTCTCTCTCTCTCCCTCTCCCTCTCCCAGGCTGTATGGGTAGGTTCCAACCCAAGGGAAAAGCTGGGGAGATGGAAGAAACCAATATCTGCTCTGACATTTGCCAGTGTGCTGTTGTCATGACACACAGCTGGAGGTCACGGTGGGTCACTGGCAGACAGTCACATAGATTATAGGAAGAGACGTGGTGGGGGTCGAATCCCACTACTGACACTCAAAGACGGAGGAATGGAAGGAAGAATGGATGAGGGACGGATGGATGGACGGAGGATCGATGGACTGCTGGTAATTAAACTTAATGGAAGCGGACAGTAAGGAGGGAAGCTTCTAAAAGATGAATCCAATATATTATTAAAAATATATACAGTAAATAAAATAAAAAAGGATGCTTAGTCTTATTGTAATTTCATTTTTTGTGTTTTGTTTTGATGAGTTCTCATCCTGACCCGGTCCTTCCTCGGACGTCCTTTGTCTCCTTGTGTCTGGTTATTTTCGTTCTGATTAAAAACAATCAATTTTGCCAAATGCATGAATAGACATGAACCATGCTCTGTTTTCGTGCTATTCGCTCCACGGCTCCATTGATTTCAGAGATTGGTTTTTGTTGAAAGGTATCTGACTGAGCTCTGAGGCGAAGTTGGCTAGGAGAGAGGAAACTGAGCTTGGCCCACGTCGATCAGAGAGATCATTTCGGAGAGGAGAGTTAATGTGGTATGAGTGTGTGTGTGTATGTGTGTGTCAGAGAGAGATACTGTCTCCTCTCTGAGGTACGGGATGACTCATCGTTGTTCACAGACATGGCTGTCTTTCTCATCTCCGATGAAGATGACACAACAGTCCATGAGTACACACCAAATCAGGATAAACCAACACCACACAAAATCAGACATTACACAAATTCAGTATCATGAAATAGAAACTCTTTTTTTGGATTAAAAAAAAACAAAACTCCAGACAGACAGTCAGATCATCACATAGAAATCGAGGTCAGACAGAAAAGGAGATATCTGAGAGTACATCAGCCTCTGCAGTTATCTGCTGTCTTTGGTTTACAATTCCTTTTTTGTCTGTGAAGGCAGAGAATCTTATTCCACTCAGTGGTGGAGTAACACAGTCTCTGTCATTCTGGGATGAAAAGAAAGAAAGAAAAAATTAAAATAATTAGAAACGCCAGACAGGGTGGTGCTGCGGACGTGAGTGCTGTCCTGACAGATCGGTAATGACTAGTGACCTTTCAGAGAGGAACGACTTCACAACAGGACGTGTTATGCCATAAAAACAACAAACAGAAACACACAGGGTCTGCAGTCACTATGGCAACAGCAGAGCCACTCAGTCAAGTGAAAGAAGTGGGTATGTGTGTGGCTCAAGGGTATGTGTGTGGGAGGATGTATTTTAGGAAAGAGGAGACACACAACACCTACGCGTGCAAGGGGGCGTACATGTAAACAAATGGACATAAACAGATGAGAAAAATGATCGACTGTGAATGAAATTCAGATGTTGATACAAACAGAACTGGTGGCAACAAGAACCACGTCTTAGTGACCAACGACCACGATGCTGGTACCTATTCTGAACATTGTAGAGTTTAGCATATGCTCAAACGACGGTACTTTTTCTAACACGGAGAGGTGGAAAAGGTTGTGTATATTTGTAAAATTGAACTAGAAACACGTTTGAAGTACCGATTGTGACCACTATGTGGTGCTGAGACACAAGCATAATTTGGCTTGAAAGTGGTGGTGATCATTTTGGTCAGAGACTATTTTAAATGGTGCATCAGTGGTTTGTACTTTTGCCTTACAGCAAAAAGGTCACCTGTTCGATCTCTGGTGGTGATGATGGATTCTCCATGTATGTTCTTCAGGTACAACAGTATGCAGTTTAGTGTTTAAGTGTTTGCTATGAATGCTATGCTTTGCTATGTTTTATCATCCACACATAATATATAATTTTATTGTTTATAAGATTTTTTTGTGGCTAATGGATCCTACTGGAGAGTTTTCTGAGATTTGATTTAAAAAATGCAGGGTGTTTTGGATCATCATAATGCCTTTTGAAAATGCAATCATTTTATACATAAAATAGTAATTAAAAAAGAGCTGGAATTTCATTCATATAGAAATCCATAGAGACGGCCATGAAAGCTCATTTAATTTGCAGACAGAAATCAATAAATTGAATGTTGCTGTTGACATTTTTGAGATATGAGTCTCTGCAGCTCCCTCTGTTCTGCCTGTGCAGCGACAGCTGTCGTTTTCAAGTTGTGTGCTGTGAAGCCAGCGCTTTACTGATGGTGTGAATGCAATCAAATATAAAGTCTGTTCAGGCAGATTTGTTTGGTCTGTAAAAAAAAGTGTGTGGAGGTGTTATTTTTCTCTAGTGAGTTTTCTGAGATCTGTCTTTTTGTGTCACCTGGAGATGAAGAGTCAGATTCAAACGCAAGGTGTGTCTGTTTTCTCATTGGTCAACAAGTCTCTACAGGAAAGAACATGTCACTGTCTATTGACATGGGAGGCTTTTGAAGACAATTGAAGTTACATCTCTGAACACCTTCTGTTTCTTAATGAACAACGGGAGCAGGAACAAAATGACCTTGAACCCAGATCATCCCTTCATCTTTTGTTCTGCTCCTCTGTATACGTCACCATTATCTCTTTCTCCCATCGTTTTTTCACCTTCCATTTCTGTCTGTCTTCCAGTGCAGTCACCTCCAGCGGACAGCTGCCAAGCGTTGCCCTTTGGAGGACTTAACCTGGCTTTGTTGACATGGCAACAGAGCAAAGAGATGACATGGGACAGAGAAGGAGTGCGAGATGTGTGTCCGATCTGAGTGTATGGAAATCTGACAGTCGCAGTAGAACGTAATCAGAAACATCACATGGGGCGTGTTGGTTGTGGGCGAACGTTGTCCTGGATACCGAAGCACGAGACGTTACAAAAATTATAACTGATTGCTCATTATCTTCTTTGTGTTCAAGCGCATGTGAACAAAAATGTGTCCAATCAGACAAACACATTTACTCGGATCAGAAACAGAACGTGTTATGTCAACACGCCAATTTAAAATCTCAGATTTTTTACTATTTTCCTGTGGATTCATTCATGGCTCTGAGGCTGGAGTGGAGAAAAAGAAAACCGACCACACATAACCTAGCACTGGTCAGCAAAGACTGAGGTCACACTGCAAATCCAGGGGGTGCTGGTTTGGGTAATGTTAATGTTAATGTTGCATTGCATCTGTAGTTATATTTTGAGCACGCACAAATGAAAATATAACCCCATCTATTTTTGATTATTTGTTGTAAACAACAGAATGATGAAATGATAAAACAGCAGGCTACAAAAAAGATGCTAGCTGCCACATTTTGTAATGTAGTATCATTCTTATCATGTTTGTTTAGCTTAATAACATAGAGTAAAGTGAATCCATCAGCCTTTGGTTTTTATGTATTATTTAGCTTTTATACTCTCAGAGTAAATCAGATTTTGAAGAGATTTTTTGGTCCTCACAGTGCATTTCTATATTGGCTTTCTTTAATTTACAGCAGACAAAGCTTCAATTCTACAGTTAATTAGCCTGAGTGTTATTTCGACCATGGCTTCCTGATTGGTAATTGCGGGTCCCTGCGTAAAGTTTACAGTAATTGTTTGATGATAAAGCAAAATTTGCTCTGAAATACTTCAATTAAGGCTAAAAAAGGACACAGAAACGTGATCTCAGATGAACCCAGTTTGACCAGGACTTCACTTTGGATCTGTTTCCCAGTAACACTTGACTCAGCTGAGTGATAACCTCCATGTAGTATATATACGCTCCATTTATGTAATGACAACATGAAAACATGAAAACATGAATCAGCTTCTGCCTTTGAAAGCGAAGCTTAACTGCTCAAGAACTCCATGTACTGTCAGGGTGGGGAGCTTGAAACTCCCCCACCGACTGTATATGTGTGTGTATCCGAAGGATCATAGGTGCACTACACACACACACACACACATGCTGGTGTCTATTTTTAGAGTTAGAATTATTTTTTCAGTCCAACCAGAATCTTAGACCTAACCAGAACCATTGTTGTTGGTCTCCATAAGCTCCACAAGAACCTCAGTATCTATGCCAGAAATGTAGGTAACAAATACACACTCTCTCTCTCTCTCTTGCTCTCTCTCTCTCTCTCACACACACACACACCAGGGAGATTAAGTCCTGTAAAGTAGACGCAGAGCTACTTGGTATTCCACCAGAATACTCCAGCTAGTCGGAGTGAGGAGCACTGATGTAGGGGGAAGATGGGTCGACAGAGGAAGACAGGAGCAAAGCAGTCAGAAGCAGGCGTGTCTGGTACGTCCTCTTATAAACTGCAGACATGAAACTGCCTTGACAGCTTATTCTCAAAGCAGATGCAAAGAAGTAAAGGACGTGGCTTTCTGCAACAAAAGTGCAGGGACGTGAACTTGAAAAACAGATGCAAAACGACTCATATCTGGCTCTGACCCAGTTTGGTGGAGTCCGGCACAGCATGTGTTCTTGACTAACACAGGCACACACACACACACACACACACTGTGACACCTTTTCCAGGTAATGGGGTGGCGCTCTTTCCTGAAGCGCGGGTTACAAGGTTTGAGAAGCGACATATCTGCTGGGAGCTGGATGTGTGTTCCACTCCCATTTACTCAGTTCTTAAACTCATTTTCACGTGGAGCCAACAACAGACATAAAGACTCTCACAACACACACACACACACACACACAGATTTGCACCTACTCTCTTGTCATGGCACTTTTTTTTTTAAATTGATGATACTTCATCAGTCCTGCTGTCCCTGTCTAGCACACACACACACACACACACCTCTGTCTCCTTGTCTCCGTGTCCTCCAGCTTCCACTGTTTACCCTCTCCTGTATCTTCCACGTCTCTTCCTTCCACTGCCCTGTGGACAGAGTGCAGCTGTTGGCAGTGCGGAGTGTGTGTGCGTGTGAGTGACCTTGTCTTAGGTTAGACCAGACCAGGCAGCTCTATGGTCTGGCACATAGAAGCAATAGCCCTGAGGGGGAGATTAGCTGAGGCGATACGCTGCTTCAGATGTTGTCCTCTGCAGCGGGTGTGTCTGTAGATAAAGTCTGCCTTTATTGACTGCTCAATTTTTATTTTATTTTGTTTTTTTTAAGACTTTTATTTGTAGAAAGTAATATAACCTAAAATTATATATTTTTACAGAAGATTATAATGAATTTATTTTCTTATAGCCAATGGAGTCTCTGGCTTATAAGGTAATATTTGTTTATGTTGAGTACAAATATTTGTTTATGTTGACACAAATGAGTAGAAAAGACAAGGCAAATATAGTAAGCACCTGGATGTGGTGCAGCCATGATCCAACTATTTTAATATAAGTGCTGCTAAAAGATGAGTCCACGCGCTGCACTTCTCATTGGCGTAAATGTCCACAAGAGGTATCTATACTCAATCAAAGATATGCAACAGGTGTTCAGACAGAAAAATCCAGAAATTATTAATCCTTACAGTGTATAGACGCATAAAATAAATTAGCACAAGTATACTGCGTTGGTTTTTTAAAAAAAAAAAAATTATAGAAAGTGCGTCAAAATACTAGGAACTAATTCTCCCATGGTGCTTTGTTTCCTCACGGGATCGGAAGTAAGACGTTCCTTTGCTACTAAGCAGTTGAGCGGCGCTTTTGAATCCGTTTGATCAACTTTGAAGTCTGCCGAACACAATGTCAACACTTGGTTTTCTTCGTTTGGACAGAACTTCAGGCTTATTGTTTGGCGAGGATCCTAAAACCGTGAAAACTGACTGTGAGGTTCGGATTCTCGACGTGGAATCGCTGCCTGTTCTCAGTGTATTTATGCACCTGTGTTCGTCAACCGTCGAAGAAGCAGGTAAGACGCTGTGACTTAAACTGTCGTGTCGTGTTTGTGTGCTCTGGGCTGAAGGAGTAAAAACTGTTGTGTTGGAAATGGATTAAAGCTGTTGGTGTTTTGGACCTGGTATTATTATTATTATTATTATTATTATTATATGGAGGATGTTATTATGAAGGATGGACTGTTTAAATAGATAGACCATTTTTCTTGCTGTGTTTGCAGTGGTTTTGTGTGGTTTCTTCAGAATATGTCCTTTATGGCCTGTGTTTTTCCCCTGGTTCTACTCTTTCCTGCACTGCCCTTCAGTATCAACTGAGAGGCAGACCAGGGAATACTTTACTCCGTCCTCAGACCCAGGCAGACTGTCACTAAAAGCAGGCAAAACACTGATACCTGATGGCTTATAGGAGAGGGAAAAACAAGATGAGGACATTTGAACCAACATATAATAATCCAACTCTGTCCAATAAACAGAGTTGGAAATAAGGAAAAAGGAGGAAAACATTGTATGTAGAATGAGTGAGAGCTGCTGTAAAGAGTGACGATGGAAACTGGGGAATAATGAAAGATCTGCTGTAGAGTTAAAGGGAGGAAAAAGTAAAGTGATAGAAGGGATACATTTTAATTACATAAAAAATAAGGTTGAAAAAAAAGTGAGTTGGAAAAGGGAGAAGTGAGTGATGAGATGTGAAGGGGTTGTAGGGTGGAGAGTGGCGACAAAGAGCAAAAGTGAGGGAAATGATGCTGTGAAATCAAGGGAGGTGAAGGAGAAAAAGTCAGGCAGTGAGCGGGTGATGAAGAAAGGCAACGAGGGGAGAGATGTGAGATCGGGGGGAAGAGAGGGAGTGGGAGGGGAAAAGTCGAGATAGATTGAAGCCACAAGATCAAGGCAGATGGTGGGGGTGGAGGAGAGGGGTGGGCCTGGGTACAGCGCTAAAGCCAACGCTGGAACACAGGGAGGAGAGGAGAAATGGAGATTGTTATCGTGGGGCCGTGCTGCCTATTGATTTGCGTTAGCGTCTCGAGCCAGTGAAATAACAGCGGTGCTGGGATGCAGACTCCCTCGTCATTAGAAAACACAACTCTCAAGACACCAGTGTGTGAGCCAGTGTACTTGGCTCTGAGGTGGTGTGTGGACCTTATGGAACGTTTGATGTCCGGGCGGTTAAGAGAAAGAGAATGGTAAATAAAAAGGACAGAGACAGATGACAAAGTTATAACACTTTGTGGGGACATGAAAACAAATGGACACTTCAGGGGAAACAGACTATGAACACAGACTGTCAAACCTGAAAAGTAAAACTAAAAGGAAGTTGCCTTATACAGATATAAAAAAAGCGACCGTTATGTTAGAGGTGAAGATTCTCTCACTTCAGGTGACAGCTCTATCTGTCCCCTCTGGTTGTTAAGTGAAGGGAAACCAAGTTAGTTCCTATAGTCTCTGCCTTTCCTTCTCCTTCCCCTCGTTTCCTGAATGTGACGCAGTAAGACGGTGGAACTGGTGTGTGTGTGTGTGAGTGTGTGAGAGTGCCTCACCAGGGACTGGGGAAGTGTGAATATGGCAGTGGAACTCTGCCAACTAAGCTACAGAGCTGGGGGGGAGATCAGGAGGTAGGAGGCAAAAGATGAGAAGAGAAATAACGAGGAAGAGGAGGAGATGAAGAGGAGAGGGGAAGACTTCATCCTTTGTTCTCGGCTGATGAAAGAAGGATTGGATCTTCAACTCCCACTCTTGCTTACTCTCTTGGTGATGAACCTTGGTGTGTGAGGTTGAGGGAGAGAGAGACAGTGAATGAGCGTGCCGCAGGAACACACACATTTCTTATTCCTCTCAAACCAACTCACCCAAATGACTCCCTGCTCACTAATTAAACTTTAATCTCCAATAGTGCACAATAACCTGCCATACAACTGAGCTCTGAACTGCAGGGTTGAAGGCAGAGATGGACAGATGAAGAAAGGGAGGTTCAGATTGAAGGTCACATGCCCCCTGCTGGGGAAAAAAGAATTTGCCTCTTGTGTCTTCTCTGTCTTCGGTTTGTGTGTTTTTGTGAATGCATTAGCATCTTCTCCTCTGTCTGTGTTATTCATACGAGTGCACACGTGTGTGTGTGTGTGTGTGGGGGGGGAGGGTTATAGCAGGCATTTTGGCTGTAAGAGGAGCAGCCGACTGGAACCTCAGTCTATGAGCCAGTCAATGTTCCTACTATCGCCTTATCACTCACTCACACACACACACACACACACAAACCAACTAGTGCCGACTTCCCATGTCCTACTCTGCTTGGCCTTATTTCCATTCCTTTTGAGCCTCTGCAAGATCACACACACCACCGCCATTTTGTACTGCACAGTAGAGGGCACCAGAGTGTATGTCTGTGTGTGTGTGTACGAGGAGGGTGGAGGTGTGTATGGCTATGACACACCACTTTCTGCTGAACTTTGCAAAATAAACCTAGCATACGTTCTGTGATGAGAACTACCTTCCAGTATGGTTCTTTAGCGCGAAAGAACTCAAACTCAAGCATTAACTCATAAGTAGCACATTGTATATTTTCTGCGTTAAACGACGGCCGAGAACTTGATAGACTCCGTCCAGTCTGACACTGATGACAGACTTTGTGCTACACTGAAGGCTGTCGTCACAGTGCATGTTACACACAGCCGGTGGTGAGGCTCGCAGTGGGGATTACTGAGCTACAATCAAGGATATGCCCGTCATGCACGGCTGCTGAAGTATGTTTTACTATACTGTGTGTGTGTGTGTGTGTGTGTGTAGTACTTGCTGTCAGGCCTGGCTAGACACAAGTCAGGTGTTCTGGGAGTGGCACTGGCACAGTGTTGTGCTGATAACTGACTGAGTTGGACACAGAGAGTGAACCAGGACTGAGCCTGTGGAGCATCACTTCAGACTTGTCTTAGTTTCATTCGGGGTGAATTCTGGTGCTTGGTAAACCTTAGGTGCTGCCAATATTTTTCAGTTTGAGTCTTTGTTTGGGTTTGTCACATTAGGTAGGAAACTCTGGTCAATGTTGGACTAAAAAATCTCATCTTTTTATGTTGTCCTGCTGACACTATTAGATGACCTTGAACCAGAAAAACACGGCAGGATTTCCCCCTTCAAGTTGATATCGAACCTGTTGTCCTCACAGTGAAAACCCTCTTACCTTTTCTGTGAGCTAATTTTTCCAAATTTGTATGTGTGTGTGTGCGTTTGTGTGTGTGCGTGTTTGCACGAGCAAATACACAGGGCACACACAGCTGCCAGTGAAGCGTGAAAATCAAATGATGCTGGTGCATCTTTTCAGGTCCCTCAGCAGAAGGCTTTCTCCAACCACTGCACATCAGAGACTTAGACACACACACACACATACACACACACACACACACCCTCATGGACACTCTTAGTCACCTCTTTTGGCCATAACACAGGTAGTTGACGGTAAAGTAATAAATTTGTTTTTAGATGAACCTTAACCAAAACCAACCCCAGTCATCCTCCATAACATCTGAAGCTTATCTGCTCCACCCAGCACCTAGCAACCAAACCACAGCCAATTAGTGCCAAGCCATCTTTGTTTCCTTGGCAACACAACATTGTCTTCCTTGAATATGACCACAGGAGTCTGCACACCTAAGGCACTCCTGTAAATAGAAGTCTGGCTATTTTAAGCATTTGAACACCAATTAGTCATCATAATCTTAATGTTAAGACAGTGGAGACGGACGATGAACAAACTCCTCAGAAGATTGGCAGTTTGCAGTCAGTGGTAAAATGCTTTGGTCTAGTTAGCACCACAAATAGAGATTTCTTCACCGTGGCAGATGTGATGGGGAAGATTGCCAGTGGGGAAAAAAATCCTTTTGAGAGATGCTTATCCTTTTTTTTTTTAGCAAAATCTAGGGAAAGGGAATCCATACGGTGACAGGGGGCGGAGCTACAAATAGCTGTAATCTTGTCCTGTCCGAGTGTCATTTTTGTAAGCACAATTTTGGATGCAGTATACCTGCTGGCCACTAGGGTCTCTCATAGCTGTTCATAGAGAAATGAGGAAATACACAACACCTTGATACAGATGCACCCAGTGTGTTTGAAGTGAAGGTTTTGATACTAAACTGAATTTTGTATTAAATACTGTAAACATGTGTCAATATCAACACAGACGTCATATTTTCACTTTAAAATTCAATATAAAGACCATTTCCTGTTGTGTCTGGCTGCAAAACGATGCATCTCTCGAATCACAGGTCATAACCCAGGAGGGTTGAAGCCCAATCACTTCCTGTTTACTGTTGTTTTCCACCATTGCCCCCGATATAAACTCTCTTGCTGCCTCCTCCCTTTACCTCACCCCTCCCTCTCTCAGCCAATTTCTTTTCCCTCTCCTCCACCACTTTCTACCTGTCTCATTTGCATAGGATGCCTTATTTGCATACATATGAGCTAAAGAGAAAGGTGATTCATGTGCAGGAAAAAAGGCTCAGATATATACAGGCAGGTGGCTGATGAAAAGAAATGGAAGGAGCAGTTTCAGACGCAAAGTGTGACCACAATCCCGCCCTCGCTTTGTTCCGTCCACCGCGTTCACTTTTTGGCCCCCTCGCTTTCACTTTTGATGTCATGTCTCCGAGCTCCTGCAAAGACCCCGTTAATGAGAAATATCAGGCGCAGGGGCTGAAACAGCGGAGAAAGATCAGGAGGACAGCTAACGGATAAAAGATTAAATACAACGCTGACCAAACAAGGGAAGGAGGGAGGGAGGAGAAAACGGCAGATAAATAAATGGATCTGGTACAAATTGTCCAGCAGCAGCTTGGCTCAGTGGTGCTGTCATTGCTGTGGCAGGGACGGATGATTACCTCGGAAAAAAAAGGACCCCCGCCGTCCTACAACGCACACACCCGACCTCCGCTGCTCACCCCGCAACACTGGCATGCATACATTAAATATGCACACATATTTAGGGCAAAGACACGAAATGCATCCTCACGCGTCTTCACAATGCACGTACTCA